AGCCTTTTGCCTGGGCCCTCTTGAGCATATATTGACATTTCATAGAAGCAGGACGTTGGCTGCCATGGTTCCTCTGCTTTTCCTGTGGCAGGTTAGGGTGTTAGGCCTACGTTGTGTCAGGGTTGAGGGTAGTCTTATATAGAGTTTAGATCAGGGGTTGGCAACCCCTGGCATGCATGCTGAGCATGGTACACAAGGCCATTTTCCTCGGCACATGTTGGGGTCATGGAGGCAGCAGCTGTTTGCAGCTCCCAGCTGCAGCCAGCCCCAGCTCTGGGTAGCTGCTGCTAGCCGGGAGCCCAGGCTGCTCCCAGCAGGCAGCTGGGATGCTGCAAGCCCTGCTGGGAGCATCCTGGGCTCCATGGCTATCAGCAGCTACCCAGAGCCAGGGCCACTGCAGCCGGGAGGCTGCAAACAGCCGCTGCCTCCCCACCCCCGGCCTTGGCCCCAACAGGTGCAGTGCCGGCACCTGCTGCCTTCCCAGAGCCTGGGGCCAGGAGATAGCTGGGGCTGGGCTGGGGTCGGGGCCAGGGTGGGAGGGCAGCAGCTGTTTGTAGCCTCACGGCTGCAGCCAGCCCCGGCTTTGGGTAGCTGCTGATAGCCATGGAAGCCCTGCTGCAAGCATCCTGGGCTCTGTGGCTATCAGCAGCTACCCAGAACCTGCTGCCCTCACCGCTTCTGCAAAGCAGTGTTGGAACCCAGCGTGGCAGGGCACAGCGGGGGGCACAACCCTGTACTGCTGCCCACGCTGCTCCCGCGCACACAGGGGAAGTGTGGCAGGGCAGCGGGGAGCTTGAAGCACGCAGCTTTCTGCGCCCCCCGCTGTGCCCTGCTGCACCAGGTTCCAACGCTGCTCTGCAGAAGCAGCAAGGGCAGCACAGCGGGGGGCATTGCCGGTATGTGCTGCCTCCCTGGAGCCCAGGGCCAGGTCTGGGGCTGGGAGGCAGCTGGGGCCAGGGCCAGGGTGGAGCGACAGCAGATGTTTGCAGCTGGCCCAGGTTCTGGGTAGCTGCTGGCAGTCACAGAGCCCGGGCTGGGGGGCAGGGGCTTTGGGTGAGGGGAAAGGGGCAGCAGGGGTGGGGGGCAGGGGCACAAGCAGGGCATCCTGCCCCTGCCCTCATTTTGTTTTTCTGGCATGCTGGCACTCCGGCACCTTCCAAGGTATTCCAACCCCCATTGTGGGGGGTTTGGGCAGTCCGGTCAAAAAACGTTGCCTATTCCTAGTTTAGATTATGATTGTATGGGATGGTTGGGATAGGGATGATCCTGCCTCAGGTAGGGGGCTGGACTAGATGACCTCTGAGGTCCTTTCCAGTGCTACTTCTCTATGACAATCTCTTGTCATATCCAGAAACTCCTTGGTTATTAACTCCACTCTCTCCCAACCAAACCAAACAAGGCCTGGGAAGGAGACTGCTCATCAGAACTTGACATATCCCATAATTTATAAAAAATCAACGTTTAGGAAAAACCAACATGAATATTATTCAACCAGCTGCAACAGCAATAAGAGAGGAAGTTTAAGTTTCAAGTACATCAGATAAAAGCATACAAAACAGAAATCCCAGGCCATAGGAGATTTATCCATCCTTGCAACAGTACCATAGAAAGGATATTTTCATAGAAAAGACTCCAACTTGTGCTTTTCCTTAAGCATAGCTCTGGTTGCTTGCAACATGCTGACTCTCAATTAAGTCCTTAAGGTTAGAGATATGTAGCTGCCATCACTTGGAAGTGCACTGAGGAAGTGAATTACACTTATTCAGTCATTTAGGTAAGTATAATATATTTACATGTCCCCATGTACACACACGCACTGAGAAGCTGGTCCAGTGAATACTGACTTAGTTCCTTTGAAGTCAATAACCATATACCAATGTATGCCATTTGGCCTTCTGTTACATTGAAATCATCCATTGTTTGTGTTTTTCTGTCCTCTGCTAGAGAATCAGAGCTACTCAAGTGTGACAGGAGCTACAAGACATTTTATAGCACTTCTGGTGCAGGAAAATTGAAGCTTTATCTTTACCACCACTTTGGAACTGTGTGTCCATAGTTTGCAGAACAGTAAAAGCCAGGAAGTCCTAAGTGAGCATAATTTTGCTGAGGTACATACAAGTTCTCTGTGCTGTTTGATTACCTTTGAATCAAACTAAGTTGACTAGAAAGATAACTCTTATAGCAAGATAATATATATATTTTTGCTGCCTCTGGGAAAAGTAGTCTTAACAGCATTAAACACAAACATTATAGGTTAATCAATTAATCATTGTTGTTTTATAATACTGAAATGACATTGAATGGGAAAGTTCTATCTTACAATGATATTGAAAAGGAACATGCATTTTGATTCAGCACATATAACTTTACTTAATATCTGTTGTAAAGAGAAAGTTTTAAGTGAAAGTGAATTGCTCCTATAATTTGGAAGTGCTGTGCATAGGTTCAGAATTCTGATCACTTCTAAATTGAAGCACTTTTAAAAACTGAAGAGGTGCCATAAATTCCTCTGCACCACACAGAGTGACTTAAGCAGTGCATTTAGGAGTTCCTCACCCCAGGATGCCATGTAACCTACAATACCCATTGTGCCTCAAGTCTGGATGTTTATTAAATTCCAAAACATACAAGTTATAAATTAAGTCCTCCCCTCTCCGACTCAGTAAATAAACCATATCAATCTGGGATCATGCAGAGTCCTAACTTCTTCCTCACTTCAGAGTTTCTCCATCCTGCAGGGAAAATTCCATTGAAAACACAGAGTTCTAGTAAAAGGAATGATCCCTTCTTGCAGAACAGATGGAGTGTTAAGGCTACCTGACTGTGAAATGCAATGATTCCTTATTATAAAGGTCACAAAAATGGGTATCTTTGCACTACTAAGGGCCATGTTGCAAAAAACATAGTACATGTTAAATGTACTTAAAACATGAACATCCGTGTGTTCAGGCAGTAAAACACAGATAAGTGCTCTTGTAACATAGCAAACTTGTAACTTTTGGGGTGAGGAGTATATCCAAATCATACTAAATAATATATGTTCAGCTACCATCAAACTGCTTCACAGAGATATAAGTAATGTATGGTCCTCCTGTATTCCAGGATGTATCCCCCCCAGTTATCCCAGTCCCATTCCAAGGGCTGGTCTATTTACCCACCTAAATTCTACTGCTCAGGGACACTTGGACTGACCCCATGGTGACACCTCCACTTACCCCTGCCCTTATCTCCATAACATCACCCTGAGCCTCAGGTGTTGCCAAGGCCTTCTACCTTTGCTTGAGCACTGCAGTGTGAACAGCAAACACCCAGCTTCATGAACCAAACTGAACCAGAGAATGTCCTCCTCAGACTTCTGCAGGAAGGCCATGAACTAGTCTTGTGATGAGGTGCCAGACCTCATCATGATCTGGAGTAAGAACCATCACTACAACTGCTAAGGGTGGGAAGGGGAGCCAACATAACCGGAGTCTATGGGTACCAGCAATGCCTTGGGCACCATGAGGTCATTGACATTGCACAGTTTATGCACAGCCATTGTTGCTATTCATTGTTTGTCCCACACTGAACTGGCTGGCAATGGAACAGAAGCAGTTGGTGTTTGCCAACTTCTAAATCACTAGGGCTGCACGTCTCTCATTGGACTTGGGGTACTGAAACCCACTGTCCTAGTGCTAGAGCAGGGGACCCAGGTTGGTGCAAAGATTCATGACTGTGCCATAGGACATCCTGCTACTGCTCATTATCCCGGGTTCTGAGCATGAGCTGCTCCCACCAATCCAAGCTCATTGTTAGTGCCCAGCAGCAATAAAGTAGCATCTGATACTGGGTCCATAGCTTATATGGCATTGTGTTGTGCCTCCTGCAAGTGAGCCAGCATGGCACTGATGGTAGTATCATGGTGCTCAAAAGTAGTGCCTCCCAGGGCCAGGCTGTGGATTACAGCAGTTAGGGCAAAGATATGATTGGTTCTACCACTCATCATCTCTAGAGAGCCCCTGGAGATCCAACGCCAGGTGGAATAGTCAGTCAAAGAGGCACTGGAATTTGCATCCTCACCTCATTCAATTGGTGCTTTTGTCTGTGCTCAGCTGTTTTTGGCCCTTGTTAGAAACATGGGGAAAAATTTCTCTAGTTTGGCATGCTGTCTATCAGCAGAGCATGAGCTGTGCATGTAGGGGTCATAGTAAACATTACCAACAAAGCCCGAAGGGCAGCATTACAATTAGTAAGTGCAGTTAAAATGCAAGCAGATGTGTGTCCAAGCAGTTTAGCATGTGTTAAGTATCCTCATGGCATGGCAAAATTGTTCCCTTCTGGCAAAGGTTACCTCCTAACATATGCTGACTTTAATAAGTCACTACTTTCTAATGATCAGGGATCCTGGTTTTCTCTGATTTAAAAAAAATCCCCAATTTTCGGTTAAAAAAAGTAACCCCAAATCCACATTTTTTGTGATTTAAATGAAATACCACTATATATATATAGAACTTGTATGTACCTCATATATATATATATATATATATGAGGTACATACAAGTTCTATATGTATTCAATTTTATATAAGTTTCAATTCAATATATATTCAATATTTATATAGTGGTGGTTCATTAAATCACAGAAAAATGTGGATTTGGGATGACTTTTTTTAAACTGAAAATTGGGGATTTTTTTCAATCAGAGAAAACCAGGATCCCTGCTATAATGATATGCAACTGTTGCAAATGAAAGTGTGACAGGGCTCTAAAGTGCACAATAGAAAGGGCTCATCCCCTACTGCAGCTGGATTTCAGATTTTCTAGCACAACATCACCTGAACATACAACTTCCTTTCTTTGTCAAGTCATAAAACTTATTGACTAGAGATGGTATCAGCAAATTCTATTCATGTCAGATTAATACCAGTGAAGATAATCATATGCTTTTTACCAGAAAAATACTACAGACTACTAATACTGAACTTCACTCATAATGAAAAAAAAGATTAGAGTTTTACTTACCCTATAATAATGCAAGAGATAGCAGTTCCCAAAAAGGCATAGGTTAAAATTGATCCCAAGTTACGAAAAAAATGTCTCTGCAGATGGAAGGAAAAATGATGAAAAATGTATTGCAGCGCAGAGTTAATCTTAGAATTTTAAAACCACACACAAACTCTGGCACTAGAAGTCCCACTCAATTCATTCAGGCTATTATCATAATCGATAAGGCAGGGTTAGGGAAAAAAATCCACACAAGCTCTGAATGCAGTTCTGAAAAATATGGTCTTAATTCTATCATCTGCTCTCAGTACATCTGAATATCACTGAACTCCACTTTCCATATATCAAGCTAGATGTCCTGAAATATTTAGTGGCTATAGTAAAATCACAGATAATTAATGTTCCACGTAAATACTACCATGAATCCCTTTTCTTATAGAGATATAAGCCCCAGTCCCTCCATAGAGAGCAAGTGAACTACTGTTCACATACAGAGTACCACTGGCTTGAAAAAGGTCCCTCTGGAGTCCAGTAATCCATGCAGGTGTTAATTAAATGCAAAAATGGAATTTCATACAGGTGTAACAGCAGAATCAGGACTATGGGCTTGATCTTGGACACATTTATTTATCACTCTTAATTTTAAATTTTAGGTCATTATTGTATAAAAAGATTTTCAAGTCATGAGTATTCAATTCTTTTTTTCTGTTATTTCTGTAGCTCTACAAAATAGCCATCACATTAATGCACCTAAGTGTTACTTGATGGAGAAATTGCTTTCCTTCTTTAGACTATATCCTGCATGAAATATAATGGGTGGCAGTAAAACATTGAAGAAAATGGAAGGATCAAACGTCATCTGCCAGAAAGGACAAAGGTACATGATAAGGAAAAGTAAAGCAATTATAGCATTTAACAGGATGGATTTCATGTGAGATTCATAGGACTTTTTAATCAGGGATAATCACAGTGTGGCTATAATTAATTACTCTAGAATGCACAGAAATATGAAAATTTATTCAGAATTATTGTCCAGGAAAATATTGTAATTTTATAGTACCCTGTTGTCTGCATACACAGTATAGTATTTACACATTTAAAATATTTAGCACAAAAATAAGTTAATACAGGACACAGGTAAGTAATATTTCACATATTAAGAAGTAAACCAGAATAGAATGATCTATTAGATTAGGCCCTGGATTAGGGATTCAGGAAACCTATGTTTGATTCCTAATCATGAGCCTCCCACTTTATCTTGGGGAAAGCACTTATTCTACAGTGTTCTTGGTAGTAAAATGTAATTTCATTAAGGTGTAAACTTGCGTTTTAGGCTTGAGATCTATGGCAACCATCAATCTTCCTGGATCATGGTGTATTAATGAGGGCCACCCAGACTTTCAATGCATATACCTGGACAGGAACTTTTGGAGGAGTAGAGGCTGTCCAGACTGTTCATCCTCCCTTTAGGCCATTGAGACAGACTTTAAACACCAGACTGAGTCCATATGTTTGGTGCCTCCATGACTGTAGTTGCATAAGTGTCTGGGAATCAAACGCAGGTCTCCTGCATGGTAGGCAAGGATTCTACAACTGAACCACAGGGGATTCTGTATGAGAGCTGCTAGGTAAGAATATGCTGAAACTGATGTGTGCTATGAAGCCTTTCTTTTAAACTTGAAATCCTTTGCCATTTCTTTTAGGAGAGTTCACTCAGTGTGAGGGCTCTCTAATGTGTTTAATATATAACATTTCAACTCACTACCACCAGTGAAGAAAGCTCTTTGCTTTCCTTTCTACTCCTATGTACAGTGACAAAGCAGGAAGTACTGCCATAGCAATGAAACTGAATTATCATCTTAGTGCCAGTCATTTATCTCTATGAGACAGCAGATTGTTTATCTTCTGCACCACTAGAGATGCAACACATTGCTGTGTGTGGAAATACAAGAGGGCCCAACTCCATCATGATTGTTTATAGACCTTTTGGTGAGGGGAAAAAGATCTGTCTTGGAAACATTCCCCACGAATTAAGGATGAGATTCATCCATTCACCATAAAGCTATAGGCTTTTGTCCAGTGCAATAAACAGAATGTTAGTCACTTCCCAAATGAAGGGTGTGTCACTAGGCTGCAACATACCCTTTCCTGATTAGTGCTCTAATTCAAGGTTTCAGATAGCAGCAGATACCAGTCCACACATCCTTATGCAAGGTATTAGGGCCAATGAAGTTAATGTTGGCTTGCTAAATCCCTGTACTAGCACTCTGTTTGGATACATCTGGACCTTCTTCAGGTCCTTGAGATAGATCTAGTCATTAGGAAAAGTAGATCATGTGTCTGTTACATAAAAGGTCAGAACTGGTCAGTATAATTGCCCCTTCCTGTCTTATATAGCTCTAAAATCTATAGGCAATACTGAGGTAATTCCCTAGACCATCTAAATCAAGGGTGAATTTCCCCTATATGCATCTATGTAAAGTATTACTCAGGGGACTTGGTAAATTAAATTAATAGAATGTGCCCTTGATTTGAAGGGAATCTTATTTTTTTTTTGCATTTTCAAAAATAGTTAGCTTTTTTTTAATTGTCTCATTTTTCCACAACCCCCCTCACCCCAAATCTGCTTTGGAAGCAGTAAAAGAAAGAACAAAATAGCAGAGAGATGTTTAACATGTATCAGAAGCACAAATAATATTGTGAAGAAAATTGTTCTCAAAAGGCTTCCATAGTCAGGAAGTTCAGAATGTTCAGATCAGCTTAGTAGAGAGACTTGAACTTTGGGGTCCAGCTTCAGTTCAAACTTCTGATTCTTTTCAGGTTCATCCAGCCATCTCTTGATGAGATCAGTTACAGTTTTTGAGTCATGAAAGGGAATTGCATAAAAATACCTTAGCTACTTTAAAAATGCCTTTCATTTTAATTCTACTATGGAAATATTTGCAGATTTGTGTGGATAGAAGGTGAAGCTAGTGCTAATTTTGCCAGATGTCAAGGTATAATACTTAGTATTCTCCAGGGGCAAGGGCAGACAAAGTACAGTCAAAAAGCCCAAGGCTGAATCAATTCAATCTGCAGATTTTTTAAAACTACATAGGTTGAAACAATAAGCAAGTGAACTGAAGTTCACTTTTCAAATGAAAGGCAGCCAGACCCCTGCAGTGGCCCATACTAAGAGCCGGGCGGGTGCTAGAGCACACCTCCCAGTCTGCTGGCCACTGCAGAGAGCCAGAGTCCTCTGATCCCCCAAGCCATGCCCCCTCCTCAGCCTCCCTGCAAGCTGAGTAAGGGGTGGGTGGGAAAAACCCACTTGTCCTGCCTGGCACTGTCCCCCAGTTGGGAACAGTCTGGGTGGCAGAGGAAGCTGAATCTGGGGGGTTTACACTTTCCCCCACCCCCCAGCTGGGAGTGGGGCTGGAATCTGCTAGACATGCCCCTTCTCAGCCTCCCAGTCAGCTGAGGCAGCGGGGGATGGAAGTCTACACCTGGGCTTGGCTCTGCCCCAAGAGCAGGGAGCTAGGAGCCATGCCCACTTCTCAGCTGCCTGGGGTTGGTTGAGGGGAGTGGGGAAAGGAAAGCCTGCAGCAGGGGCTTTACTCTGGTCCCAGAGTTGGAAGCCAGGAGTCATGCTCACTCGTCAGCCTCCAGGCTGGAAGGTGCGGGGGAAGCCCGCAGTGAGGCTTGGCTCCATCCCTCCCCAGAGCTGGGAGCAGGGCTGGAGTCTCCTAGTCATACCCTCTTCTCAGCCTCCAGGCAGGCTGAGGGCAGAGGGGTGGAAGTGGGGGGCTTGGCTCTTCCCCACAGAGCTGGGAGCCATGCCCGCTTCTTATCCTCTGGACTGGCTGGGAGGTGAGAATAAACCTGCATGGGGCTTGACCCTGCCCCCAGAGCCTGGAGGTGAGAGCCATACCCCCTTTTCAGTCTCCTGGCTGGCTGGGAAGAGGGAGAAGCCTGTACCAGGGCTTGGGTCTGCCCCCCAGAGCCAGGAGCAGGTTTGGAATCCCCTTGTCATGTCCCTTCTCAGTCTCTGGACCAGCTGCATGGCTCTCAGCTCTGGGGGGCAGAGCTAAGCCCTTTTGTGGGCTTCTGTCCCTGCCCTGACCTCAGCTGGCCCAGACGGTGAGAAGGGGACATGGTAAGAGGACTCCAGCCCTTCTCCTGGCTTTGGTGGGGTGGAGCCAAGTCCTGGTACAGGCTTTTCCTCTTCCCAGCCAACCCAGAGGCTGAGAAGGGGGCATGGCTGTTTGGGGCAGAGTCAAGCCCCTGCTGCAGACTCCCCCTCCCTTCCCCAAGCTGGCAGCACCCAGCTGGGGGTCTGGTGCTGGGCCAGAGGGGTAAGTTCCCACCCCCCCATCCCCTCCTCAGCCACTCAGACTGATAGTGCTCCAGCTAGGGAGCAGAGAAGCAGGGCAGACCCTGCTCATTGGAGCAGATAGCATAGCCCAGGGCTGCAAAGCATTATGGGATGCTGGGGGACTGTATGTTAACTTGAACCAGGAGGGGATCTGGGACAGAAGTTCCATCAACCAGTTTGACCTACATCAGTTAAGTTTGATATACTACATCTAACCAGGTTTATCTTAAATCAGTTTCAGCCATTTTGAAAGCAGTTTATGTGCACTGAACTTCTACGCTGTTACAGGTTTAAACTGGTTTCTGATCACTTAAACTGGTTTATATGTAAGTTCTTCCCCTAGCCCAGGAGTGATTTGAACTCAGAGATGCAGGCTTACTGCATAGCTAGAAAAATCCTTCACTGCATTTGTGTACAAATTAATGCAGTACTTGACAGTAACATATCTATTATTAGACTATACATTAGTGGAAGGTTCGTTCTTTTTTTTGCAGAGGAGTTCAACAGAAACAAAGCATTTAAACTCAGTGGGCACATCTACACATGTATTAATGCGCTGCAATTGCAGCACATTAAGTTTAGTACCTGTTATTACAGGTACTAAACTTAATATGCTGCAATCAGTGCTACCTGTAATACCAGGAACTAAACTTAATGTGCTGTAATCAGCGCTAGTGCTAGTGCACAGTAGCACCAGAACATGTTTTTTATGTAATGTTAATGTGCAATATACTAATTCTACTGCACATTAGTGCATTAGCATGGCTTTTGCCATGACGTGCTAATGTGTAATGGAATTGATCTACTGCGCTTTTAGGGCATTTATAACCAGACCAGAAGTCCAGAGTCCAGAAGTCCACTACTTCAAAGCAGACTCAATTTGAGTTTGCTCCACATGCAAGCTGAAGTGAACTGCACTGTGCCATGTGCAATTGTGTAAGTGGCAAAATGCATGGCAGTGTGCAGAAAATGGCGGTGTTGTGCTTTTGAACTAAAGCACCTCTGATGTGTTTTAGTTCAAAAGCACACCACCGCCATTTTCTCAGTGCTGACACACATTTAGGCACTTATACAACTGCAAAATTCCCTTACTGTTTCAAGTAGATGCATCCAGTATGACAGAATATCCAATAGGTTTAACAGATTTTGGGTTACCACCACATGACTTGAATGATATGGAGCCAGATTACTTCCTGTACAGAAATCTGCTTGGCACAGAATGGAGACTTTTTTCCTGATTCTCCAGGTGTGTTTTTTGCCTGCATTACAGGCTGCTGTATATTATGCCATCCAGCTCTCAGTAGCAGTCTCCACAGGAATGTACATTAGCTAAGAATTGACAGAGCATAATTGTTCTCTCGGTTGTCCTGCCCTCAAGAAGCCCCTCATGCTCCTTCTCTTTCTTCTCACTGGGCTCCTTACACAAAGGTGGGCTGAATAGTTGGTACAAAAGCTGGGGAAACCAGCTTTACATCAACGGAATTCTCCCTCTGATGTGTGGCAAG